AAAGAAGGCTTTACCTACAATGTGTGAGAAAAAAGAAGTTGCTCTGCATTGCTCTTTTTGTCTTCTGTGGAAGATAAAAAAAAACTTTGGCAAAATACACTTTCTACTGCCTTCCATTTATGAAAGACCAGATATACAAAGGCAAAAGTTGATCTTTTTTAATTACTTCATAAAATTAATGTAATCAGGCAACAAGTCTATAATCCAAGAAATATCGTGTTTATCTATATATGTATAATGAGCGTGGTGGTGCAGTGGTTAGAATCCAGTATTGTAGGCTACCTCTGCCCAATGCCACAAGTTCGATCCTGACCAGCTCAAGGTTGATTCTCCCTTCCATCCTTAAAGAGTACTGTAAAGCATTATGAAGTGGTATATAAATCTAAGTGTTATTGCTATTGCTATATATATACACACAGATCTTATTTATGGTCAATAGGAATTTTAACTATCTGAACTTTTATTCAAGGAAACTAAAAGTTCTTATAATTATTTGAATTTCTGAAAGCATATTTTTAAAAGTGATACTGCTGACATTCATCTTCTATTTCAGCAATTAACAATATAATTAATGCCAGAAAAGAGCACCACGGGAATACCATAAAATAAGTGTCTGCAGCACCATATAGTCCAACTAGGTATCTGCAGGATTGTCTATTCCAACTAGGACTCGCCCAACAAATCAGATCAAATCAAAAACTTATTAATCCCACATTATTAGGAGGTGTGAGGAACTGAAGCCAGAAGGCATTGTGTTTCAGTGGCAGGACTAACACTGTGGAACAACTTTCCTGGCAGAGATAAGATTGGCTCCCTCCTTGTTGATATACAGAAGTTAGCAAAGGCAGAATTGAGAGCCTTCCCCTGATTTTATTATGCCATCTTTAACTTTTATTTTAATTGTTTGGCAAATGTTATTGCTACTCTTTTGATGCAAGGTTTGTACAGTAGATGTTTTAACTGGTTTTATATTCAATATAAGCTGTTAAGGCTGGAGTAGGATAGAAATATGTAAAATAAAAATACATAAATAATTCAATGCAAGCATATTGTTCAGCTGGTACAAATGTCCTATGAAACAGGCTGCAACTCAGGTCAAAAATGAGATTCAGAAATTCAAAGCTTTGTTAGTACAAGCAGAAATGCACAAACTGCTTTAATATTTCAGTAAAAAAAATTCTTCAAGTCAAACTCAATTCCTATAACTAGTATATAGAAAGAGACTTGGACATTCCATCCAATCTTTTTGGCATCATTACTCTTAATAAAGTAATTCTATTTACCTAAGGATTTGACTGAATCTGTTACATGTTTCTAATGCAAATGCACATCCTACTTTGCCTTTTGGGGAGGATGTATTTACAATCTCAGGTTCTGATTAAAATAAGAAGGTAAGGTAAGGTAAGGTAAGATAATCTTAGTTGTCATTTTTTTACTATGAACACACTGGCTCACATTAAAAATGAAATTCTGTTGCCTGCCTGCTCTCAAAAGAAAGTATATATCTACCCATACACATACATAACACATACACATATATACATATAAATATTAATCACTCTCCATTTTGAACAGTGGAAAGTTGAGAGTTCACAAGGTTGATGCTATATGGAACAAAACTGACTGAATCTAGATGTTCTGCTTCAGATACCATGAAGCTCCTCCCAGGTAACAAGGAAAACAGGTCATAAAGAGGATGTGTAGCATCCCTGACAATCCTGTGGACCTTGCTCAAGCATTGCTTATATCCTATGTCCTGGATAGAAGGGAGTGAACTGCCAATAATCTTTTCTGCCATCCTCACCACTCTCTGCACCACCTTCCTGTCTGAAGCAGTAATGCTTCCCAACCAGAGAGTAATGCAATATGACAGGTTGCTCTCGATCGTCCCTCTGTAGAAAGTGCTAAGGACAGGGGAAGGAAGATGTACTTTTCTCATGCAATGCAGAAAATACAGGCAGTGCTATGCCCGCTTCACCAGTGTCTCACTATTGAGTGACCAAGCTAGTCTACTTCTTAGCTGCACACCCAGAAACTTGATGCTGCTAACAATCTCCACAGATCTTATCTATCTGATCTGATCTGATCTGTTTCTAATTTTATCCAAGCTGCTGTTTATCTATTTGTTGTTATGCTATTTAGGCTGTATTTTTCTATTGTTAGCCGCCCAGAATCATGTCAATGAAAAAAAGTCATACAAATCAAAATAAATAAAGGGGAGAACTGCACTCTTTGTAATCCTATATCTAATATTTTGCCAGGAGTACCAGTCAATTTTTTTAATTTACCCAGCTATTGACGATTCATTTCCTCCAATATGTCTTTGACATATTATAAATCACATCATTTTCTGTTTTGGTCAGCATTTCCACTTTCAATCATTTTTTCCCCAGCTGAAGCATCACCACAACATCTGTCTATAACATCCTGCCATCTACTCATCCCACTCCATTTAGGATCATTCAGACCTCTCTTAAATCTAGAAGCTCTGTGTAATTATGGTTTGGCTCTGGGTACAGAAAATATATTTCAGTCAGGTGACACAGCCATGATTTATAATGATTAAAGAATAATAATTATATCCTAAGGAAATTAGTAATTGGGCACAATAGCTAAGGAATATAGAAGAGCTATCCTGAATTTATTCATATACTAGCTGTACCCAGCTACGCGTTGCTGTGGCTCAGTCTGGTTAAATGGAAAAGAAAGAAAAGAGAAAGCGCACATTTGTAATATGTTTAATTTCACAATGCTAGCGCGTGTTGCTTTTACGTCCAATAGATGGCGCTGTTTTTCAAAAAAAGCATGTTTTTACCTGTCACAGGGGTGACATCTATATAATAGTAGGTATATAAAAACACGCGCGTATTCGAATGCAACGTTGTGTCAAAATTTCAAAGCAATCGGTGAAGAACCTTCGGAGATTTAAGATTTTGAACAAACGAACATTTACATTTTTATTTATATAGATTTACAGAACTGCTCATCCCACAGTATTAGGCACTTAATGACTGTTTTCATTTATATATTTTATTTTGAAGGACTTAACATATTATTTTTTTTTTATGCTATTCTGCCCACTTTTAGTCAACAGAGCCATTTTGCAGGTAGGCCTACAGCACTAAACAAGACTGAATAAATAACTCTAATAAATAAACCATTCCTAAATTATAGAGTTCAGTTACAGTAGGTAGCACTCATCTATCCTTTATAGAAAAAACAAAGAGAATAAATAATCTATAGTGGAATACTAATTTGAAAATTGCTTTGATTCTCAAAGGCTGCTA